CAGAGCATCCTTCAAAACAAAGTAAGAGGGCATTACGATGAGTATCATTCACTGCTACGCGCCCATCAACCATAACATTGAGGACGATAAAAATCAATTCTATGAGAGGCTGCAGTCAATCGTCGAGAGGTACTAATCAGAGGATTTGACCATTCTAATGGGAGACCTAAATGCCACGGTTGAAATGGACAACACCGGATATGAAGACTTCATAAGACGATATGGAAACGGACAAATATGGTGAGAGATTCGCTAATCTGTGCCTTCAACAAACTGGTCATAGGTAGCCCAATATTCTCACACAAACGCATGCACAATGCTACATGGGCCTTGTTTGATCATACAACATGGAACCAAATCAATGATATCTGCATCAATAAAAAGTTCAGAACGACAATGGAGGACGAAGAAACCAAGAGAGGAGCCGACATAGCTTCAATCATCACTTGGTGTTAGCCAAAATGAAACTGAAACTAAAGGAGCACTGGATAACTGGTCAAATAGTATCACAAAAGTTTAATATGGCCTTACTTCGAGATATTGGCGAACTCAACAAATTCAAGACAGCTCTCAGCAACAAGTTCCAGGTCCTTTACGATCTACTCAATGAAGAAGAAACTACCATGGAGAACAACTGGAAATGGATCAAAGAAGCAATCACTTGAACATGTCATGAGGTTCTGCGCCACAAGAGGTTCCATCACAAGGAATGGATCTATGTTGACACTTCGGATAAGACTCAAGAAAGGAATAACAGGAAGATGGAAATCAATAACAGTAGAACAAGAGCAGAGAAATCCAAGGCACAAGCTGACGAGGAAGAAGCAAATAAGCAAGTGGACAGGAGCATTAGAAACGATAAACGTAGCAATGACGTAGGAAAAAGCTGCAAGAGAAAAATATATAGGAAAACTATGCAATACAACGAAGCCTGTTGGAAAAAATATAAAACCAGAACGATCAGTGAAAAGCAAGGAAAGCAAACCAAGCATCGGACTTCAAGAGCAGAGAAACAGGCGGGAAGAACAATAAGAACTCTCGAATAGACTAACCCCACAGAACCAAGCCAAAATCGAAGCAGCACCTATACAGTTCTCAATTGATGGTCACCCACCAAAAATTGATGTCATCAGTACAACCGTAAGACATCAAGAGTGGTAATGTAGTAGGGTCAGACAACATACCAGCTGAGACACAGAAAGCAGATATAGCAGTAGCTCCAAAGATGCTAAAAGCTCTATTCAGCAAGGTTTGGGAAGAAGAACAAGTACCAACAGACTATGAAGAAGGACACCTCATCGAGAAAACAAGGGAAGGATAATCTCAGCAAGTGTGAAAACTACAGAGGCATCACTACTCTCAAAACCACAAGAGGTTTTCAACAAGTAGTGTTAAACAGAGCAGAAGATTCAACAGATAAGAAACTTCCAGATCAACAGGTTGGATTCTATAAAGATGGCCTGGTACCAGGCGAAATCCCGACATGGATACAGAAGAATCGATTGGCTTCTGTCAACCTGCGTCACTTATGGCGTAGGCGAGATATCCGTTTGCTCACTAAAGGACGAGTGTACTGTGCAGTAGTTCGCTCCGTCTTACTTTATGGCTGTGAAACATGGCCAGTGAAAGTAGAAGATATTCGTAGGTTACTGGTTTTCGATCATAGGTGTCTTCGAAGTATTGCTCGTATATCCTGGGACACCCGAGTAAGCAACGCTGTTATTAGGAAACGGGTGCTAGGTAAGAATGGCAGATCAATAGATGAAGTAATGAAACTTCATCAGTTGAGGTGGTTGGGACATGTGCTGCATATGCCTAACCACCGACTGCCTCGACGAGCTATGTCTTGTAGTGTAGGAGTAGGTTGGAAGAAAGCTAGGGGCGGCCAAACCAAAACATGGCAGCACCCCATGAAGTCATTGACGAGTGAACTTCGCCATGTCGGTAGTTGTCGACTACCTGGTTGGGGTCCACAAGACGAAAGTCACCAATGGTTAGAGACCCTGAATGACATGGCTCAAAACTGTTTGCAATGGCGCAGATGCATTTATTCTTTGTTCTCTCAAATCCTAATCTTCTGGATTCTTCAACACCTCTAGTTTTGACTATCTAAACTTTTCTCACTGAATCATACTTCTTGAATAATATCTTCTAATCCTAACCTCTCCTATTACTTCTAATACCTTTACTACCTCTATACTATTTGATTTGAATAGACAATTATATCTCTGTGCTAATGTGGTATGGCAACACGAACTGATGTACTTACGTACAAAGTTCTACGTTGCATCTGACTGACTGACTGACTTATAACCTTTTGGTATATATACCCAACATTTCTGGTGTCAGTGTCGAGCATAAGACGTCAGAGAGTAGTCAATTTCATTCCACTAATTAAGAGAGTTTAAAGAGAGTAAAAATTGGATGAGACCAGAGAAGGATCGTCTGGTAGATCAAAGATAAATCACAGATCTCAGATTGAATAATGACCAGTCTTCAAAAACCTTTTCTTGGCTAAAAACTTTATTCAGTCGAAAACAACGTTCAATGCAATCATCGCAGATGAGTTGTTTGATATCCATACTTTGCATGAGCTCCATTAAGTCATCTAACTCGAATTCAGAAAAAAATGTTTTTCAGTTCAAATTGTGACACCATATGTCACATTAACAGGGTAAATCAACAAGATAAGAGGTAAAAGAATAAAAATAAGATCTAATACGAAGGAAGAATAAGCGCAGCAAAAATAGCTCAGACCTTAAAAACACTATTTAAGCGAGAAAATATTTTTCACATAAAACAAATGATATCGAATAATCAAAAGTATGGAACGAAATCAGGCTCCAAATTTCGAGTAAATAAAGCACTAGTGTACAGCCGAATCATCGTCTTCGTCCGCTTAACAGTTTCATTGTTACCAGTTGATACTACATACGGTTTTTTACATTACTTGGGACCACGTAATACAGGTGTCCTGAATGCTATAATAGGACAACATAACCACTTGTAATAAGACTGTGGTTAAAGATACAAAATATTCTGATGATTCACTACATGGGATAGCTATGGTCATTGAGGAGAATTTCTTCAAAAAAGCAGCCGGAGAACAGAGCAAAAATCACCAACGCTATATACTTATCTCCGAATTAATTATATGTATACACTCCTTAACAAAAGAATTCAAGCCAACGCCAGGTAGAAAATAAAGAACCAAGTTAGAATTTACCAAGTTATGTCTCTGTTAATGCATAATAAACAAGCATCAAGTTTGTTAGCTATGAAGATAGAAGGCAGAAAATAGAGCATGTTATTGCAAAGCTCACTAACCAACTAACTATTAGCAGAAATGAATTACTGACAAAATTGTTAAGTCTCTGACATAACGATCTTTATCTGCACTTATAAATATTTCAATATCCAAAATCAATTTAAGAATAATATTAGGAGTTAGTTAGCAGCACAGAATATAAAAGCAAGCCATAAAAACACAAGAAATATTGAATTATACAAGGTGTGAACTCACCGAGTTACTTTCAAAGGAAAATAAGTTGTTTATCATCTGAAATTTATGAGTAGAGTACAACTCAAATATCAAAACTGAAAACACCTATGAGTAAGACATGTAAATACAAGTTACGATCAGTCAGTCAGATGCAACGTAGAACTTTGTACGTAAGTACATCAGTTCGTGTTGCCATACCACATTAGCACAGAGATATAATTGTCTATTCAAATCAAATAGTAATAGAGGTAGTAAAGGTATTAGAAGTAATAGGAGAGGTTAGGATTAGAAGATATTATTCAAGAAGTATGATTCAGTGAGAAAAGTTTAGAAAGTCAAAACTAGAGGCGTTGAAGAATCCAGAAGATTAGGATTTGAGAGAACAAAGAATAAATGCATCTGCGCCATTGCAAACAGTTTTGAGCCATGTCATTCAGGGTCTCTAACCATTGGTGACTTTCGTCTTGTGGACCCCAACCAGGTAGTCGACAACTACCGACATGGCGAAGTTCACTCGTCAATGACTTCATGGGGTGCTGCCATGTTTTGGTTTGGCCGCCCCTAGCTTTCTTCCAACCTACTCCTACACTACAAGACATAGCTCGTCGAGGCAGTCGGTGGTTAGGCATATGCAGCACATGTCCCAACCACCTCAACTGATGAAGTTTCATTACTTCATCTATTGATCTGCCATTCTTACCTAGCACCCGTTTCCTAATAACAGCGTTGCTTACTCGGGTGTCCCAGGATATACGAGCAATACTTCGAAGACACCTATGATCGAAAACCAGTAACCTACGAATATCTTCTACTTTCACTGGCCATGTTTCACAGCCATAAAGTAAGACGGAGCGAACTACTTCGTAGTACACTCGTCCTTTAGTGAGCAAACGGATATCTCGCCTACGCCATAAGTGACACGGGTTGGCAAAAGCCAATCGAGCATATGATATATATGATATTCAGGTTAATGATGCCGATCGATCCCACGCAGACCATTAAAAAGTTTAATGATTACAAAAAAGTTAAATAATCAACTTCAGAACTCCCTAATCAATAATACTACTACTAATAGTAATAAGTTTGTGTGGTTCGGTATTGAACCTGGTTAGAACAGAAAGTGGTTAGATGATAATTTTAGGTTGATAAGATGTAGGTCAATGATAGAAATAATTATCATCGTAACCAGGTGTTAGGAGGGGAACGAAAAATCCGTTTTCCACAACCACGCCGTACCCAATTAAATGGTTTATTGATAAACTAATCAGTGTTTGTTATAAACAGCTGGAATTATAAAATTATTAATTAGAATCCAAAAATACTCTGAAAGATGTATTGATCCTAAGTAAAATGAATACTAGTTTGTTCTAAATTTGTAAAACCTGTCTTTAAATGGAATACAGGACGACCCAAAAAACAAAAATGTCAGCAAACAACATCCAAGTTTAAAATTTGGAAACAAACGCAGATAGGCTAACTGTACACACAGACAGCGTACCTTTTTTCCTTTAGCCTTTGTTTTGTTCCTTATTGACATAAATCCTTGGTCAGATAGTTTTGTCTGATTTAAATTATAGATACTGGCTTGTACAACTGGCTGAGAACCAACGGTATGAAAATTAGATGAAGACCTGTCAGCAGCAGCTGCACGTATAGATCTTAAGCGACCATTTATTTCATTTGAGAAATGTTTAGCTTCCTCAAGAGACGCGAAATCAAGTCCAACTGGTCCATCATCTGATTGAAATATGTGAAAGTATTTTAGTTCCTCAGTATAATCCATTTCCAAAAATAACCTTTGCTCTAAGAGGGGAGTTTTCCTCTACAAAGATATTGTGTATTGGAAACGAATAAATGCGAGTTCACTTACAATCACATCATAAATTCTGATGAAATAATCCTTATAATTCTTGTCCTTGATGCAACATGCGACACCACAACCTTTTAGCACCCAATTCGATTCATTTTCACCTTTGAAATACCGTACTACAGCAGAAGCTAATGACTCACAACCAGCTCCAAACAATGAGTGTAATACAGAATTTTCTTCGTTCGTTAGTAAAACTGAAGTTCCACCCATTGCATCGGACTATCAAAGTTTAAAAGCAAACGTTAAAAAAAATCAGAAAACGCGAAAACTGTGTAGGTACACCTTTTAATGAGTAAAAAGATGTCTCAACCAAATTAAGAAATAGACAGACAGTAGTTTATAAGTATGCTTCCACAAAAAAAGCATTATCAAAGGAAATCTACAGTGAAGCATTGTGTCACCGAAATGCATTAAGACAATATGTTACTAACGATCGACATTCCTTAAAGTAACTCCTAGATCAATAACACTCTATTATTCTGTCCCATGCACATAAGATATGAGAAACTATGAGATCAAAGCACAGAGGGATAGTGCTTTTAAATGTTTGGAAGACGATGCTGATTAAGTAACTGAAATTCGATATGAATCTTAAAGTACTCAAACATGAGATTGAAACGGATGTTAATAAAAATGAGCCCAAATAATCAGAAAACGCGAATGCTAGCCACTCATTTTCAAAAAAGAAAGAGTAAGTGAGGTTAGTTTTTACATACACCTACATCAGAAATTTGGTAGATTAATTAAAAACAACATAGTGACTTCGAATGTCAAACCTTTCAAAACAACCAAGACTTTTAGGGATCAAAAATTAATAGTTTGCTAGTATTAAGCTGTAATTTTTTGAAAAATCCAAAATAAATATGGTATTTATGAAGTATTAAGCCTACTCAAACTCATGTCTGTTCGGGTGTATATGGTAAGTACAACGTGATTGAAAGTGGTCAAATGTTCACAAAATGTATGCGCAAACATAAGATAATTAACAAAAATGTCAAAAGATGTATGATGAGGAACACATATTAGAACATAAAGATGAGCAATTAAAACTCCGACAAATCAAGTTAAGATTTGAGGTTGGTTTAACAACCGATAGCTTTGGTTATGACAGGTTTGAAGATTAAATTCATAAACATGGGTCTTATAGTGAAGGTACATCATAAAAAGGAGACAGTGAGGGGCGCTAAAGGAATGTGGGAATGTGGAGATAAGGGAGATGTTAGCGGGTGTAGGAAGGATTCGGTTGTGACCAGTGTGGTATAGTATGCTGTTACGGGTTTGAGGGCGGATATCTCTACCCGACTGCCCACACCGTGGAAGAGTGTTTCTTGATGAACCTGAAAAGGTAGATTAGTGTTGGTCTTAGAGATCTAGAGTGTGAACGCAGAGCTCAAGGGACAACTGACTGAGACCGGCCATGTACGGTCTTTTTATGAGAAGTTTTTAAACTGTTGTCTCAGCTCTTTTTAAAAGGCCTTACCTTCGGAGACAGAAATCCGTGAGGTGAGGTGTGACATCTTTAGGGTCGACCGTTTCTAACCCCTTCCTTCTTTGTGAGAAGGCAGCATCGCTGCAGATGCTGGTTGTCCAAAAGAAACACCTTAATGCTGCCACACCTCTCTGAAGTAGTCAGAAGTGCAACTTCTCCCTCAGACCTTGAGTGGCTGCTTTTAGTCTCATCGTTCTCCAATCGACCTGCCTGGCATGGCTGAACCTTCAGGAACATATGTTCCAGAAAACATGGCTTGTTTGCGTCATCACGATAGGAAAGCCTGGCCACCACTGCAAGGTAGGAGCCACAGTTGGGTGGTAGCTGTTAAGGAGATCCGATGCCATATTCCATGAAAGTTAACGTTATGGTGATCAGCTTTAAATATCCTGCGATACAGTGCACAGTTTCTGCGATGTTTCAGTTACAAAATCTGTAACTACAGTGATTTCTAGTCACTAGCTACTTTGCCCGATGACTTATTTTAACCGATACACTTTGGACCACCTTAAAGTATATGAGAATAGCAGAAACTGACAAGAAATTGGAACCATTAGCACTGCTAGTGAAGATTTGATATTTGGTTCACACAACAGTATGGTCCGAAGGAAAACAACTCGATCTACTCAAACAGATTGCAATTGCAGTTTATACAACAATTGGCTAGTATTGCATCCCGGTTGATATGACATGGTTTTGAACGCTTACTGGTTTTAGATATTCACTAAGATAATCGTAATAAATTTGATAATTATAGAATAAAAGACATCGAACTGTGACAGTATCGTCGTTTAAATATAGAAAAACCGGACTAATACACTTATTGAGTATCAGAAAATTCACTAGAATTTTGGGTTGAGGCTTTACCTAGGGAAATACTGACAGACTTTATAGTCAGCTCACTAAAATAAGGTAATGACTCAAAAAACAATATAAATGCAACAATAGTTGCAATACTGGCAAAAGCTATGATGGTACAAAATCAACAAACCATATGGAGTTCCAGCTAGATTGATTGCATGTTTGTGTGCAAATGTAAGAGAAGGCCGAGGTGCTGTATAACAAACATCTGCAAATGAGTTTAGAAACCGTAAGACTGAGAAAACTAACAATCAATAATCACTACGCTGAATACAGACCAAAATAGCTCATTTGGAAGACTTGGATGTAAACCGCTCTTTGATAGACAACGGAAAGCGGAACATCTGACAATTAGGATGTGATAGGTGAATCCATCTATGGTTTCATCTACGTCATAAGGTATCTGTACTAGAAACACTTCCGGTAAAATAGCGTCAACTTAAATTCAGACTCCGAAAACTATGGCGTCTAGCTTATCATCGTTAAATGTAGTAAAAAGTAAGAGAAATCCCAACAAAGTACAGAGATGAGACGTACCGTCCGCATTTGCTTGGAAATGTGCCCCTCCCGGCAGTAGCGCAAATACTTGTATTTTGTCCGCAGTACAAATTTCGTGATTGTCACATTTTTAACACACAAAGATCTGATTCAGACAGATCTATCCGTTTAAAATATCATGGAGAGTGACGAGCGCTTTAATTAGATGATATCACAGACCAGAGTTTACCAACGCTATGGGTGTCCGGTAAGATTATTTAGTTCAAGAACAATGCCTAAGGCTTATATAACTACTTAATTTGGGGATTCGTTTGTCGCTAAAGATGGTTTGGCTGATTTCGACTAAATACCTAGGATATTTTATGTGTTTGAAGTGAGCTGATATTCACTAACTTAGCCTTTTGGGTTCTCGTCCGTGTGTTAAGACAGAGTTCTAGATCTATCAGGTAGATCACAGTGGATAGTAATGCTACTCCGTCTACAGGTTAACCAGTGTTGATTCTGATAATCACTGACACCTTATCAATAGAACCCAATAACCACCTTTATACGAACGAAAAGACATGTAGCGGTATACTTTTACGAAGATAACACAATTACTGAAGTGGAAACATTTACTATTGTACTTAATTCTAACAATAATTGTTATATTGTACTCCTTTTGTTCAACTGTACTAAAGACTATCTCTTGCGCACCAAGCGTGTCATACCCATTCCGGTTCTCTCCTCGGTGGTTGTTAGCCGCTTCCTAATTCCCGTCTTGATATTAATTCGATATCATGAGGCCTTGGACAAATATATTCTTTCTTCCAGAAATTATTTGCATTCTGATTTCTGGATCTATCGGGATTTAATTTGGAAATCGCGCGAAGAGGGATAAATATCATCTCACTATAATTGATGAGAGACGACAACGAAACACGCATCAAATACGATGAATCTGTCATTTTCCTATCCACTTTACTTACTATTTTAACTGTTTTATAATATATATCGATATTTTTATATATATATCATAACTGCAACGCCGTTGGAAAATGATGTATAGACCCAAAAATGACGATAGCCTAGCAGACTCCCAGATTCAGGTCCTTGGCTTTCGACCTGTTGCTCTTATTCCCCACGACCCAGAGGCCTAGTTCGCGGCACCGGAATCTCAGCTTGGGATCCACTGCACCACGAACCAGCGGCAGATGTTTGCCTATGCCCTGGAGTCTCTCCGTGGTGACCAATTAGCCGCTGCTCGTGATGCAGTTCTCAATCCTACTTTGCCTGATATCTACGACCGCCTTAATCAAGGCGATTCTCAGGCATTTCCCTCCCGCATCGAAGGAGGAACGCTTGATAACATAATTAGCACGTCAACCTATGAATGGTGCTAAACCAGGCCACCACCTCATGCGCCAGCAATCCTTGGCAGGACCCACGACAGCCGACTCTGACATAGTCTGGGAATTGTGGCTTAAAGCATTACCAGCACAGGTGCAGCCTACGGTCACTTCTCTGCTCGAGGATATGCCAGTTAACAAGGCTGCCCTCATAGCAGACAAGATAGTAGCGCAGACTAGCTCGCGGGACAACTGCATAGTTGTCTCTACATCACACGCAAACGCTGACGTCGACGCTAATCACCTTCAGGCTCAACGAGACCACAGACGGCCCAAATTTCGAGATCGTTATTCCGTTCCTGAACCCCACGTCTCACGAGCACGCTCTCGATCAAGAAAGGCTGCAAGTGCTAGCTCCCAGCAGGCATCTTCCGAGCCACGCCAAAAGATGGATTCGGAAGCGAGTACCGACCTTTAGCTCTGGCGCCCGTCGTTGTCGAGGCCCCTTCTCATACAAGGCAGGAAACATCCAAGCCGACGAGTAAACGCGGCCACACTTCTCAGCCCCTCACCTCAGGTTGGCCGACTGTTTTATGTGCACTAGCGCTATGTACCTGGTTGAGACAGGTGCCTCAGTTTCTGTCGTACCACTTGCTAGCAGCAAGTCTCAATCTATGGTGCTTCGACTATGCGCTGCGAATGGCTCTGTCATTCCTACCTATGGCATACGAAAGCTGTCGGTCAACCTGAGCAACCGATGACAGTATCTGTGGAGGTTCATCATCGCTGATTTTCTCACAGACATACTCGGTATCGATTTCCTACAGCACTATGAAATGCTAGTCGATTCACGTAGGCTGCAGCTAATCGATACTTCGTCGGACAGCAAATTTATGGGCTTTCGAGCTCAAACAGGTGCGTGCCGTATTTCATTCGCGTGATGACATTTTCCAAGCTTTACTCGAAAAATTCCCCCAGCTAAGTAAACCACTTGAGGAGATCCCATCAGCGACTCATCATGTGATACCACATTGTCACCCACAGACCACCAGTCACGGCACGACCTCTCCGACTGGCCTTGGACAGATTAGTTTTCGCTAAACGTGAGTTTGACGATTTACTAGCTACATGTATTATTCGTCCTTCTCACAGTCGCAAAAGGGATGGGATAAGTTGCAGACCGTGTGGCGACTACCGAGCATTAAATGTAGCAACATATTTCGATAGCTATCTGGTCCCTCACATACACGGCATCACTCAAGGGCACGACTATTTATTCTTAGATTGATCTAGTACGTGCATGTCATCAGATCACAGTTCCTCTTGAAGATATCGAGAAAAATTCTATCATGACTTCTTTCGGTCTTTTTGAGTTCCTACGAATGACATTTGCATTACGGAATGCTGCTCAAACTTTTCAAACTTGCTACAAGTGTTTTGCGGTTGCTCAGTCTGCGTAAATTCATCCGGAGTTATGAACATATCAGATCAACAGTGCTGGATTTCCTATGGCAAAAAGACCCAGGGAAATTTTTCGGATTGCTATAAACTTGATCAGCTTGCGGGCTCGTCAAGTGTTTAAGACCAGCCACACTTTCTAACAAAGGCTCACAGGAATCTATTTCAGATGAAAGACAGGAAGTAATGGATGGTGTCGAGTCACTCAGAAGGAGTTTAGTTGTATTTATATCAACGAGCGGGACACAAGGTACAAAGATGTCGTTTTCAATTTCACGCTAAGAGTCTATTCAGCCAGTGGGTTAATCAGAATAAGATACGGATAGAGCACTGTTCTTACGTTTGATTTTATCGAATTCAGTACCTGATTTGGATCTTTTACAGCTGTTATATTCGACAGGTGAAATCATGTGTTTTTTATATAAACGTGGCATGTTTGTGGAGTTATTTGCAAGCACAGTTTTGTTACTGTAAGCACAAAGTCTGTTTGGAATTATGAAGCCAAAAACCAATTACTAACCTAATAATAACCGAGGAGTGGTTGTAAGAGATGAGTTCATATGTCCCGTTGAACTAAAGTAAAACGATCGGTAAACGAAAAACATAAAACACGTGAATAAAAGGTACAACCTTCAAAGTACGGAAACATTGTGACAATCAATAATAAGTGTGCAGCTAAGTATAGATGATTTCACACTGTGCCATAGAAAGTATGGAGAATGTATGGTCTATGCACACCACGCCACGAGTGAAAAATAGTGTACGAAGTACAACACCAGATTTGTTACGGCTCACTGCATTTGGCATCAATTATAGGATACATGTATGATATGTATAAAAATTACCCAAATCGAACCTGAAGAAGACATAAAATTCTCGGAAATGTTCATACACGCTCAAGATTACACAAATACTTCAAAATGATTGTTGATGGTTTCAATCTTTTTAAAATCAATTGGAAGACAAGTAGTTGTCCACAGTAATAGGGTGAAAGAGTTGCCACTGAGACACCTTATGATTGGAAACGGTATGTTATGCAAACTACATTCGGCAGCAATATACTGAACTAACTGTCCTGTAACAGCATTATTCGTATGATAATGGATGTTAGCAAAGTGCTTTACACGAACAATTATCAGAAGGCTCCCTTCCTCCTAAGTAAATATCTCGCAGAAATCAATACACATTTTGCACAGCTGTACATTACTGATTACTTACTATATACGCACCCTACGAATTTCTCAGATAATTACGTGCTCCGACAGGTTAAAACTAAGTGACTGCTGCTCTTAAAGGTAGCTTAAGAACAAATATTTTAACATCCCTTGAGTAAACGCATATATGAACCGTAAGATGATCCGTTTTTCACCCAGCATGTCCTGGTCCAAAATTACCCCATACCTATATCTTCTCGAAGAACCTCCTGTGTAGTCTTAAACATACGTATTATTTCCAGGAAGATTAACACACCGAAGTGTTCCTACACTGACCGAAAAGATGGTGTATTCGCCAGCGTTATGTCTAAAATTACATCATTTCGCTCCATGAAGTTTCCAATCACTTTTTAGTCTTTATTTCAAGTGGGCGGGTACGTCTCTATGGTTTACCGAAGGCAATTTAAATAATCATGCGTTTTGTGATCTTCCAGTTCATGTACTATCAGTTTTAAAAAATTTAAACTCCAGATTTATTAACATTCAAATGTTTCGCTGCCTTATTTTCTTGAACTTTGTAACTACCAAATTTAAATACTTTATCCCTTTTATAAATTTTGATAGAATAGTGAGAAGACGTAACTGATCTGAAAAACATGATGTATTTGCATTATAAACTTCGAACGATCTGGTCAAATAAAATGCCTTGACAAGTATATGTGTGACCAGCGCAAACAAATCGCATTTTTCAGATCAGTTACGCCTTCAAACTTTTCTGTTAGGCATAGGTAGGCTTGAAAAACTGGCAGTTCTGCATGAACGTAAATTCATTGTCTTCTAATTTTTCATATCTACTTCATTATTACAGGAAACTTAGAGATGTCATTATTGATTCGCATTAAATCCGAAGGCTAGCCAAGGCGATGCAGAAATCGAATTCGCATGCAGCGTTTGTTGATCGTTTAAATGTTGCATCTGTATTCTTTGGTTTGGCTCAATGAATTTTAGTCATTTGCGTGGGTTGCCACTAGGTTTAGCTGTATGGAT